GTTTCTGCTCCAGAGAGCAGTGTTACAGGGAAAATCTAAAATGAGCGCAACACGTGCTCGAAACCCACATTGGGGGGGATTGGGCTTATGAGTGCCTTTAGACTGACGATTACACTCTCAGGGACTTTGCAAACAGGCAGCAGCTCCATCATTCAGTGTTCAGGGGCCTCAAACCTTTACATAAGGAGTCCGGAAATTTTAACAACTTTTAGGGAGCATAAGTCTATAATTCATATGCAAATGAAACACAAAAATACCAAGAAAGTATGTTTGCAAAGAAAAAGAAAAGAAAAATCTAATCAAGTGAGAAATACAGAACTAATGCATTAAAGTCAATCCGTTAAAACAAACATAATTTAAAAGCCTGAGAAATTAGCCTGGTAAATGCAATATATTGGATTTGCCTGAAGACATTTTTGTGATCAAATAGACAAAGTCATAATATACACAGGAAAATTCATAAATTTTGTGTGTGTGTGTGTTTTCTAAGAGGGCAGAATGAATCTATGTTTAACAAAGGATAAGGCCCTTCGTGATGGTTTAAAAAATAAAAAACCCATTTATTGTGTTCGCCCTGGGCCTGGCACTGGGCCAACCATCTAATAAGTTTCAACACATTAAATCCTTATAAAAATCCAGTGTCACATAGTACTACCACAATGCCTATTTTATAGATGAGAACATTGGAATTCAGAGAGGTGAAGTAACCCACCCCAGGTCACACAGCCAGGAAGTGCTGGAGCAGGGATGGAAGCCAGGTCTGTTGAATTCTGCACTTCCTCCCCCACCCAGCACACACTCCCTGAAAACTCCATGCCCCCGCCTGCCAGGCATCTGCTCACCGTCCCCTGAGTACTATTTTAAACTTCACTCTGGGACTCCTTACCCTCACATGCCATGGCTGGTAAACACCTGCCCACCTATATTTAAAGGGTTAGCTCAAGTGTCATCAAACAGAAATCTTTCCTGACACAAGGGCCACCAACACTACCCCTCCCGTCCTCCATCCTTTCTTTCTCTCTTCCCTAAGGCAGAGTCCATCATGCCACCTAGACTGTAAGTTCCACAAGGACCAAATCCTTTCTCTTAGAAAGCCCTGCAGTCCCAGGAACCAGCACAGTTCCTGACCCAGGAAAGACCTGCACCAATCATATTTGCTGAACGAATAGACAATGAACTAACTCCTCCGTGCCCGGGGATGTTTTCATTCTGTACCCCAGCAGTTCTTCATCGCAAGTGATGTTACTCCCATGGGGATATTGGACAGTCTCTGGAGACAGTTTGATTATCATAACTCAGGGATGTTACTAGCATCCAGTGGGTAGAGCCAGGAATGCAGCTAACGTCCTACCATGAACAGAGCAGCTCCCAGAACAGATAATTAGCCAGCCCACGCTGTCAGCAGTACCAAGGCTGAGAAACCCTGCTGTTCACCCTCTGTCCCTGCAGCTACAATACACCTGGTTATCTCCACGGAATGGGCTCTAGGACCCTAAAGGCAGGGACCTGGCATCACTTTGTGTCTTTAAGCCCAGCACCCAGTGTGCTGAGTGAATGAGTTAACCAGTGGATGAGAAGTCTGAGACCGTCGATCCAAGGCCAACCTGGAATTCGGTGAACATACTGGTGGGACGGGAACCATACAAGGTCAGGGGCTGAACTGACGACTTGAGTTTGGGGCCACGTACCAGCTTATTAGCTATGTGGAAACGCTTTCATGTTGAGTCATTGTGATTGGCCACCAGAAAGCCATAATGGGGAGGAAAAGGTCAAACCAGACCTGAAGGTTTTGTTGGACACAAGCAGCCCTAGAGAGCTGTATGCTCATTAACCGTCCTGCCTCAATAGCGTGATGACAAGTTTAAGGCTGTGACAGCAAAATCCTGCGGTTGCTCCTGGCTCACATTTACATGTTTTTGTGGCTCAGGAGAGGAGTGTTCCTTATCAAAGGTGTTGTAAACTCTGAAAAATAACACAAAGCTATGGTAGTGGGTGAGTGAATTGTCACATGCAGGTCTTTTAGCATTATGTACAAGTAGAGATATTTTTAAAATGAGTTATTTAAAGGAAATATCTCAGACAAGATGCTGATTATTACTTAAATGGAAACAGACAAGGGAAGAACATGAGCATCATGAAAATAAGAAATGCAGTTCTTAATTAATTGCATGCAGTTCAGAATTATCAGTGTTTTCAAGTTCAGAATCTTACTGGATGTTCATAATGATACTGTGATGTTTATATTTTATCCCTAAATTCAAAATTTCAAGACTGTACCCCGGAAGGAAGAGTGGGAATGCCCAAACATGGGCAGCACCCGGGACATCAGGGGCACAGTGCCCCCCTGCTTGGAACAGTGGGCACTGCGTGGGCATTTCAGAAAAAACAGCTCAGCAACCCTGGCAGAGCCAGGAAACACAGGTGGTGGCTTCCAAGCCCAGCACTTCACTGTGTAATGTTTGAATAGCTAATCAGAAGAGAACAGGTAATCTATGAAACAATATTTGTTAGCTGTAAACGTGGGTGTAAGTCACGGGAGATGAAATGGGAGTTCATCAAAGTTGAGCCTCCGACTGCCTTACGACAGGCTCTGTCTCCCGCTTGCTGAATTGACTAATCACTTCATGTCCATAATTCTAACAGGGAAGAAAAGACAACAAAGAGTGATCTGCTCCTTTGGTGTTTCGCTTGTTGTTTCTTGTAACAATTGGGACTTTCACAAAGAATAGGCAAAGCGTACATTCAGGCCAAAAGCGACAGACTGTTCTAGGGTTACTGTCGGCCTATATGTATTTGTCTATATGTATCATTTTGTATTTGTCTGGCTACTTTTAGCTCAGAATTCTCAACACATACCATGAATCTTCAGTATTATAGAGAAGAATGATAGAGATGGTTGAAATATGCATTTTATCCAAAACGCATAACCTTTGGTATTTGCTCTCAATGTGCAAACTGATGCCGACATCCCTGCAAAGAAGCATTTGCATTCTGTTTAATGAAATAACTTCAGACTCTGATCTTAGCCCATCGATGACTGTAAAAGTATTAGCTCTCAGTGGTCCCTTTTTGTCAATTGTAACTACGCCACATAAGCAAAGTATGAAGTCATAAAGTTTAAAAAAGGAGTCACGTCCTGGTGAGACGTGGGGAAGTTCCTAGCAGTCGATCAGCGGCTGTTTCCTGGGGTCCTCTCTTCCAGGCTTCTTCCTTCACCCTTTCAGCAGCTCATTCAATGTGAACCAAGCAGCATATCTGCCCTTGACAGCAGATGGACAAGATGTCCAAGAGGCAGAGCACTGTCACCCTGGATTTCTGGCTCCTCACCAGGTCTGCGTGTCCACTGGTGAAGAGATAGTGGTTGAAAAGGAAGCTTAAGCCCTGAATTCAAACGTGTGAAATGGTCTTCTTTTCCCAGTTGCTAGTGCTCAGCCACCATTTGCTGAGTACATTTAGAGGTCAGCACAGCTGTGTCCCCACTGGAGTTATCGGGGAGATTATCAGAGAGCACGAAGATTGGGTGGACCTTGCTGCCTGTGGCCACACAACCTGGGTGGCTTCTGCCCTTGATGCCTGTCCAAGGTGTGGCATAGAAGGCCACTGGTGGTGAGACCTGGATCCAGTTTGACTCACAGTCCATGCCCGCACTTGTGCTATAGCAAAAATATTATGAATTGGGAATACAGAGGGCCTGTTCAGAGAGCATTACTGTTAGTGAAAGTTCACACACAGCAGGGGATGTTGGTATAGTATGAATACGCTCGATAATTGATGAAACTGAGCCAGGTCTTGCCAGGTGTTCCCGTCCCATCTGTAAAACACATGCATGAGACGCTCAGGAAGACAAACAGATCTTCCAGGAGCGCCTAAGGGAGGTTACATGTAAGTAAATGTGCCAAAGAGGCTAAGGGAGTGGTTTAGTTCATCTGCTACCAGGAGGCTTAATGCAAAATAATTGATGCTGGAATAGTAAGAGCTGCAACAAATCCACCTAATCGAAGCCAGCATCACCCTAACTCCTGATTGTCTCCCATTGGCTCGTACCTGCGATGCCAAAGAAACCACATTTCCCAGAGCTCTCCGAGACACAATCGCACCAGTACTGTCACCTGGCTTCTTTCTCAAGGTCTAGAGCTTTCTTGTGCCCATCTTAAGATGGACCAGTCCCTCTTGTGCACTGCAGAACTGAGTCCTCTGTCCTCCCGACCAGAACATACCTGGTCACTGCAAGGGGGCCTGCCCCCTCCCAACCTCCACCCATCTCTTGGGTCTTGAGGAACATTCTCCAAGAAAACATCTGCACCATCTTCTCATGAAATGGCTCCGGAGTGACGTGAGCTACAAGAAATTCCTTGATTGCTCCCAAGCTTGAATTCTAAAGTCAGAGTTTCCAAGTGTGTGTGTGAATATACAAATATACACATCTCTATATAAATATATTTATCTCCACTGTTATCAAAGACGGATTATAAACCATAATTAAAGGCATTCCTTTAAGGGAGGGAAAGGAAGTTAGAACAATATTTTGCCTTAGGGAGAACATGCTCGGTTCTGAATTGCTGCCCTTCTGATGAAGCTGGTCCTTCCAGGGTGCCCCGGGAACGGGGGCAGAGGTTGCTTTCCAGCACCATGGCTTGGGCAAGTCCAGATGAAGCCAATGCCATGGGTGTGTGAAGACAGCACCCCGCTCCCCTACATGTCAAAGCTGGTCCTTCCAGGGTGCCCCGGGAACGGGGGCAGAGGTTGCTTTCCAGCACCATGGCTTGGACAAGTCCAGATGAAGCCAATGCCATGGGTGTGTGAAGACAGCACCCCGCTCCCCTACATGTCTGCCAGCCCCTGGGCTCCTCTTTCTGCTTTGTACAGACCTGTAATCCTCCAGTACATGGCATTGACTCAGACAGCAGAAGTTCCCACAACTTTGTGTATTTTTAACAAAGATGGTGGGATGCAGAATTACCACCGAAGTTCTAACCTGGTTTTTCCTTTCACTCCCACAGGGACGGATCTGTAGAAAAGCCGGCAAGTCAAAAAAGTCCTTCAGTCGCAAAGAAGCTGAAGCTACCTTTAAGAGTTTGGTGAAGACTCATGAAAAATACGGTTGGGTCACCCCGCCTGTGTCTGACGGCTGATGCTGGCGCCCAGCATAGACGCACGAGCCACCCACCCACGTGCCCCCGACGCCCTGACATCTCCTCCTCAGCGCTGCACATCCTCCATCCTGTTTTTATTCCAGCCAGAACTGCATCCTGAATGCCAAGGAGACATTTAAGTTATTCACGAACAGATGTGTTTACAGAAAGAGAGCGCACATGCTGTTCAGGATTACGTTTCGATTATAAATGAATGATCATCTCGAAGTCACTTTGGAGCAAATGTTGACATGGTGACATTTCCCATTGCCTTTAGCTTCTTCCATGACAACAGCTCCAGTGAGCGGGCAGGAAACTCCATGCCCCTTCCCGCTCCATTTCCATGTAAGTGGCACCATTCGTTATTTCCTAGGAACACCGTGCATCGCAGCACATGTGCACTGTGCCCTGTATCTGTTTCTCTCCCTGACAGGTCAATGTAACTCAAAGATGTGTCTTTCTGTGGCCTGTGGTCTGCTGTGATGACACTTAGACCTCATTTGTGCTCTGACCTTTGGCTCATGAAAACACAAATTTAACATTACCAAGTTCTAGTGATTTAAAACTACAACTGCCCACTTGGTGAAAATGTGCTCTCTCTGCTGATTTTGTGGTGTGCTGCTGTCCACAGATAAACCAGTGCCACTAGATGCTGTGGCCACAGGGCCAGACAATGGTGCAGATGCCAGGTGTACCCCCTGGGGCTCAGAGCAATGGACAGTCCGATGCAAAAGGTCTCTTCCAATATTAGGAAATGCTCCCATGAGAGTGCATTTGTGTTCCTGTCTTCTCTCAATCACCAAAAGCAAAAGACAATTTCTCATTCACTGCAGGCATCTGGCTCATTTTATTATACGTGCTCGTGACAGGGAATGGCACAACTGCCAAAGGACACCAAGTGATCATACGATGATTTGCATGACTGGGTCTGTTTCTTCAAGCAGTAGTCACCTGTGTGTCCCCAGGCTGGGATACATGAACACCCCCGCTGTGGTGTAAACGTCCTATTATTTAATACCCCCACAGTTTCATTTTTCTCTTCTGTTAAGTTACTTAGAATTTCTAAGAAACTCCATGAATGAGGAAATACTGTTCCTAATACCAGGCGGAAAGAGGTAAAATGTTCATTCCAAGTGGAAAATCTTATTGGACACATTTTAAATAAAATCATGCATACCTGATACATGGCCTTAAGAATCCAATCATTGTGGGCTATTCTTCCATTTAAAACACTTCGTCTACTTTTTTTAATTTTGATATTTCAAATACTACAAATACCACAACACGTACTTCAGGAGCAGCATTCTATAGCGAGGCACAGGAAATGAGTCTCAGGAACCCCTAGTCTTGCAAAACTCCAGTAGATCAGCATGGTCCCCAGAAGCAAACAGGAGGCACGTAGGAGTTAAGTAGAGGTGTTCACGATCGGGTCAAACTCACGTGTTGTCGACTGTGTTACCGCTAGGAAGGAAGGAAGGAAAACCTGATTATGTACAATTCTTCAGGCAGTTTCAGCTACTCAGGGACCCGTCCACTTGTTCAAGGATTTTCAGAGATCCGAGAGACCTGGCCTGAAAGGATGGGGGTCTGCTCCTCCCAGCGTAGCTGGCGATTAACCACATCTAAGCTTTATTGTTGCTTTAATTTTGTACCACTTTCTTATTTGCCCCAAACACACAAAGACAGCTGTGCCAGGCCCGACGGCAGCATACTGAGAATGCGTGGCCTCCTCCTCGGGTCCCCTCCGAGCTGCAGTGGTCATGAAGCTCGAGGACTGTGAACGTGCTGTGTTCATTCGTCTGGTCCTCCGCGGTGGGACTCTCCATCCTGGAAGCCTGACATTTAGCCGGTGGTCTTCAGACCCTGGGGCTATTGGCTATAATGGAAGTACACGATGGATATCGAACATCTAGGACAGAATCATCTTCCTGGGGAAAACACCTGAGTTCATCACTTTCTAGATATTTTCCTCTTCTAATGTGAAATTAAAAGCAATGTTTTTTTAGGAAAAAATAGAACATCTAGGACAGAATCATCTTCCTGGGGAAAACACCTGAGTTCATCGCTTTCTAGATATTTTCCTCTTCTAATGTGAAATTAAAAGCAATGTTTTTTTAGGAAAAAATATATATATACATCCAAATCTGGGTCACTTCAGTGCTGTTTATTAGCTGATTGAAAAGTGTGTCCACAGTTGTTTCGGGGGGTGCCACGCCAGGTGGTCAGCCAAGGGGTCTGCTGTAACTGGGAGTGGGCGAGGCTGTGGTGACAGCAGAGTGGGGAGACATTCGGCTCCATCTCAACCTCTCCGTACACCCGGAATTCAATTTCTTTTGGATGGTATTTCCCTTAGGGTTGTTAGAAACTTAAATCGATGCTTTATTGAAAGAAATACCACTTTTCACCTAAATTGGTAAGAAATTCTCATTTTAAAAGCAGTAGGAGATCACTTAAAACACAACCACTGCTTTGACTCTTAGAAGCTAGAACTCCCTTCCTGGAGGCCCGTGCCATTGGAGGCAAACATGGTGGTTCCTGGCCATTGAGGCACCCTGTGACCATGGTGCAATGGTCCTGCCTGTCACATCCTGGCTTTCCATAGGCCTTGTGCTGCCCTCTGCATAAGACACCTGCCTGTGGAGCCCAGGTGAGAAGGAGGCTCCTTCCAGGCCCAGTGAGTCTGCGGCCTGGGGCCGCATTCCCTACAAGCCAAGCAATTGACCCCTCTTGAGACAGACAGCAAGGGAATAATTGGACAGTAGGCACGGATGTCCACATCTTGCCAGCTCCACGCTCCCACTTATTGGCGGGAACTCAAATCGAGCTAGAGGCCAAGAGCCAAGAAACAGAGAAATACAAACTTTTGCTTCCCGAAAGGAAAAATTCCTTCCCCCCAAGAGGCTTTCCCGCCCCACCATCCTTGTTCTTGGGCATCTCTTCCTCCTCTTGCCAAGGCCTGTGGGTGAGACCTGCATACGGCTTATTGGTTCCCTTTCCAGCAAACTGAGAATTACAAATGCCTTGAAGTTCTACGTGAGCAGCAAGATGATTACCCCCAGCTATGTTTGCACACACAGATGCACACACATGCATGCACACACACGCATGCACACACACCATACTCACACGAAGTCTCACAATCTATAAAATTCATTACTCAGAAAAACCAAGGTTTAGGCCTAAATTTTTCAGTTTCCAAGCTCGTTCCATCTATCAAAATTCAACCTTATTTTTTGAGAGAAAAATCTGTGGATTAGTGAAAAAGCCCTGGGGTTGAAAGACAAAAGCCCATGTGCCTCTGTGACTCTGGCAGGTCATTTCACCTGCCTGAGCCTTGGTTTCCTTGGCTGTAAGCTCTTACTAGATTGGTGCGAGAATTGACCAAATTGATGGAGGGAATGTGTCTTGGAGACCCAAGATTGTTGTATGAACTTGTACTTTATATTATAACAACAGGTTTTAATTAGAACGTACTTGGTGTGTTTAGTTGGAACATACCAGTTCGGAATGAAGAATCGCTGTGGTTAAAATACAATTACCTTGTAATCATAAACGTGCTTTTTGACCCCAGTGCTCTATGTTAAGTCAAGCGACCACACCACTGACCATCTCTGCACCAAGCATTCTCCTCTTAGATGTAGGGAATGCGGAAGTTTTAGACACATCCCTTTCCCTGGATAGGACCTCGTAAGATAAGAATCACACAGAGGAACTAGCAACAAGTGAGACAGTGCCAAGTTGCTTTGCAGAAATGACAGACATTGTACAAGTCCAGAGATTTCCTGACTGAGAACAAGAAGGTTTCGTGGAGTAAATCAGGCTTGAGCTATGTCCAGGCAGAGGGAAGAGGAAAAGCAGGGGCAGAAATGGGGCTGAGGACACCCACAGAGGGTATGGCCTGTGTCCTCACTGGTTCTGAAGGGGAGAACTGGCAGCTCCATGACACTTGTCACCTACGGGGACCCTGTCAACAGAGCTGATTTCAGGAGGCAGGACACAGCCCAACCTCATGGACTAGCATGGGCATGCAGAGCTCACCCTGGGCATAAGAATTATATTTTAGTGTTTTATCTGAGCACATCTGACAGCGTGCAAAATTTTAATGGGATTTGCTTTCTAGAGGGGCAGGACTTGCTTCCTCACTGTAGTGAGGGTAGAGCCATCAAATCTAGGAGGCTGCTCATCTAACTTTATGCAGTCTCTGATGAAGGAAGCAAGCCCAGAGACACTGAGCGGCCGGCTCAAAGTCAGCTGAAGGCACAAAGCCAAGGCCACTGTCTGACTGTGGCTTTCTGATCCTTCATGATGCTTCTCATGAGACCATTAGGCAATTCACGTGGCCCATATCCAAACACACACTCTACACTCCATCACTGAGTCAGTATAGCCATGGGTCTTAGTTCTAAGCAGGCTGAGAAACACCCAAGTGATCCATTCCATGCCAAAAGCATGTCGGTGCAAAGGACAGTATGGGGCTTGGAGCTTAGCCCATGTGATCACAGTCAATACTTTTGTTTTTTTCTCCAAAGACATTAAAATAACTTATTGCTTTGTTCCTCAGTTTTGTGCTATGTTCCACCTTATCTTCCTAATTTTTGCAGCCTCCAGTTCACATAGTATTGAATATTGTTCAACCCCAGGGCCCATCTGACCTGTAGAATGTGGCCAACGAACTGGAAAGGCCAACAAACACGGTTGACATTCAAGAAGGCAATAAGCCATGTGAGCTTGGCTCCAGAAGAGACAAGGAGCAAAGCGTGCCGGCCAAACAGAATAATCAAAGCAGAGTATTTGAGTAGAGTGCAGAGCCAGAGGGAAGCATAAGCCATGTGAGCTTGGCTCCAGAAGAGACAAGGAGCAAAGCATGCCGGCCAAACAGAATAATCAAAGCAGAGTATTTGAGTAGAGTGCAGAGCCAGAGGGAAGCTAGATTTTATTTCAAGGTTGTAATAGGGCTAGACAAATGGCAGAGTGGGCCAAGAGGTTGGGCATCAGAGAGGCAGCACCCAGTGAGGGCAGAGAAACCCGCACTGTTCCACCGCCAACCCACCCGACTCTCGGCAGAGTTAAACGAGGAGGCTGAATCCTCGTTTCCTCTACTGGAGGTGAATTAAGTGACTGTCCTACTTTGCAGACATGCAATCGTTTTGTATCTCTAGGTCTTGGGCAATCACTGGTGATGACACTAATTGAGCTAAAACAGAAACTGCTATAACCTGATGTGCTTGGTTTCGTTCCTGCTTGCCTTCTCTGCCAATGTGATTTTCTTTCATGAATGTTGTTTTCATCATGACGGTGGTAGGAGTTTCTGTAAACTCTCAGACTATCACCGCAGTTCACATTGAGACGTTGGTGTATACTCTTTCCCAAGTTATGCTATTCTGTGATCCTCAAAAGGAGAGAAAAAAAAATGCATGTGCCATGAAATAAATAGGGAAGAAATGTTTACCACTGGAAGATGGTGAATGCATGATTCGAATATTCTAGAGGCACTGCCCTAATGGGAAAAACAATGATTCTGGAAAGCAAAACTTTAAAACCAATAAATGTCTTTACACAGAACATTTGTTTTGTCATTGTATGGTCTATGTTCAGTAATTGTCGGGGTTTCTCTGAGTTTCCATGTGTTATATCCTTGGTGGCCCATTGTGGGTGGCTTTCTGTCATGTGGTGCCCTCTGATCTTTTGCACTTTGACTTACTTGTGGTTTGCCAAATGAAAATTTTGAAGGACGTCACGGGAACTCTCTATAAAAATCAATGAAATATATCTAAATCTAATTAAGCATCCGTGTGATTTAGAAGATTTCTCCTTCAGCTGCCATTTGCATTATAAAGATTTGTAAATGTGTCTGCCAAAGATTCCCATTAAACATATTATTTCAACATAATGGAAATAGCACAAAACTGTAGACTAAACTACTGCTGGATTACAGAGATATATCTTTGGAAAACTTATAGAATAGCAATTCTGGAAAGTGACAATTCAAATACCCTAAACATTATTTACTTAAAAGGTATTTCAGCTCATTTTTTACACTAGTATGTAAGTGGATTTTCAATTCCTATTTTAAACTATTTATTAGAGTAATTTCACAGTCCTTGTCAGTATTCAAGATGGTTTTCTAATCAAGAGTACTTTTTTTTTTTATAATCTGAAAATGTGGCTATTTTAGTATTGAAC